GGGAGAGCATCGCGATGCTCCGGGGCGGCTGGGGAGAGCATTGGATGCTCTGGGGCGTCCGGGGAGAGCATCGCGACGCTCTGGGGCGTCCAGAAAGAGCATCGCGATGCTCCGGGGCGGCTGGGGAGAGCATCGTGATGCTCTGGGGCGTCCGAGGAGAGCATCGCGACGCTCTCGGGCGTCCGGAGAGAGCATTGCGACGCTCTAGGGCGTCCGGAGAGAGTATCGCGACGCTCTGGGGCAGCTGGGGAGAGCATCGTGACGCTCTGGAGCGTCCGGGGAGAGCATCGCGACGCTCTGGGGCGTCCGAGGAGAGCATCGCGATGCTCTGGGGCGTCCGGGGAGAGCATCGCGACGCTCTGGGGCAGCTGGGGAGAGCATCGCGACGCTCTGGGGCCTCCGCGGAGAGCATCGCGACGCTCTGGGGCGTCCGGAGAGAGCATCGCGATGCTCCGGGGCGGCTGGGGAGAGCATCGCGATGCTCTGCAGCGTCCGGGGAGAGCATCGCGACGCTCTAGGGCGTCCGGGGAGAGCATCGCGATACTCCGGGGCGGCTGGGGAGAGTATCGCGATGCTCTGGGGCGTTCGGGGAGAGCATCGCGACGCGCTGGGGCGTCCGGGAAGAGCATCGCGACGCTCTGGGGCGTCCGCGGAGAGAATCGCAACGCTCTGGGGCGTCCGGGGAGAGCATCGCGATGATATGGGGCGTCCGGGGAGAGCATCGCGACGCTCAGGGGCGTCCGGGGAGAGCATCGCGACGCTCTGGGGCGTCCATTGAGAGCATCGCGATGCTCCGGGGCGGCTGGGGAGAGCATCGTGATGCTCTGGGGCGTCCGAGGAGAGCATCGCGACGCTCTGGGGCGTCCGGGGAGAGCATCGCGACGCTCTGGGGCGTCCGGGGAGAGCATCGCGACGCTCTGGGGCGTCCGGGGAGAGCATCGCGATGCTCCGGGGCGGCTGGGGAGAGCATTGGATGCTCTGGGGCGTCCGGGGAGAGCATCGCGACGCTCTGGGGCGTCCGAGGAGAGCATTGGACGCTCTGGGGCGTCCGGAGAGAGCATTGCGACGCTCTAGGGCGTCCGGAGAGAGTATCGCGACGCTCTGGGGCAGCTGGGGAGAGCATCGCGACGCTCTGGAGCGTCCGGGGAGAGCATCGCGACGCTCTGGGGCGTCCGGGGAGAGCATCTCGATGCTCTAGGGCGTCCGGGGAGAGCATCCCGACGCTCTGGGGCGTTCGGGGAGAGCATCACGACGCTCTGGGGCGTCCGGGGAGAGCATCGCGACGCTCTGGGGCGTCCGGGGAGAGCATCGCGACGCTCTGGGGCAGCTGGGGAGAGCATCGCGACGCTCTAGGCCGTCCGAGGAGAGCATCGCGACGCTCTGGGGCGTCCGGGGAGAGCATCGCGATGCTCCGGGGCGGCTGGGGAGAGCATCGCGATTCTCTGCGGCGTCCGGGGAGAGCATCGCGACGCTCTGGGGCATGCGGGGAGAGCATCGCGACGCTCTGGGGCGTCCGGCGAGAGCATCACGACGCTCTGGGGCGTCCGGGGAGAGCATCGCGACGCTCTGGGGCGTCCGGGGAGAGCATCGCGACGCTCCGAGGCGGTTGGGGAGAGCATCGCGACGCTCTGGGGCGTCCGGGGAGAGCATCGCGACGCTCTGGGGCGTCCGGAGAGAGCTTCGCGATGCTGTGGGGCGTCCGCGGAGAGCATCGCGACGCTCTGGGGCGTCCGGGGAGAACATCGGGATGGTCCGGGGCGGCTGGGGAGAGTATCGCGATGCTCTGGGGCGTCCGGGAAGAACATCGCGACAACCTGGGGCGTCTGGGGAGAGCATCGCGACGCTCTGAGGCGTCCGAGGAGAGCATCGCGACGCTCTGGGGCGTTCGCTGAGAGAATCGCGACGCTCTGGGGCGTCCAGGGAGAGCATCGCGACGCTCTGGGGCGTCCGGGGAGAGCATCGCGACGCTCTGGGGCGTTCGGGGAGAGCATCGCGACGCTCTGGGGCGTCCGGGGAGAGCATCGCGACGCTTTGGGGCGGTTGGGGAGAGCATCGCGACGCTCTGGGGCGTTCGGGAACAGCATCGCGATGCTCCGGGGCGGGTGGGGAGAGCATCGCGATGCTCTACGGCGTCCGGGGAGAGCATCGCGACGCTCTGGGGCATGCGGGGAGAGCATCGCGACGCTCTGGGGCGTCCGGGGAGAGCATCGCGACGCTTTGGGGGGTCTGGGGAGAGCATCGCGACGCTCTGGGGCGTCCGGGGAGAGCATCGCGACGCTCCGGGGCGGTTGGGGAGAGCATCGCGACGCTCTAGGACGTTCGGGGAGAGCATCGCGACGCTCTGGGGCGTCCGGGGAGAGCATCGCGACGCTCTGGGGCGTCCGGGGAGAGATTCGCGACGCTCTGGGGCAGCTGGGGAGAGCATCGCGACGCTCTGGGGAGTCCGCGGAGAGCATCGTGACGCTCTGGGGCGTCCGGAGAGAGCATCGCGATGCTCCGGGGCGGCTGGGGAGAGCATCGCGATGCTCTCCGGCGTCCGAGGAGAGCATCGCGACGCTCTAGGGCGTCCGGGGAGAGCATCGCGATGCTCCGGGGCGGCTGGGGAGAGTATCGCGATGCTCTGGGGCGTTCGGGGAGAACATCGCGACGCTCTGGGGCATCCGGGGAGAGCATCGCGACGCTCTGGGGCGTCCGGGAAGAGCATCGCGACGCTCTGGGGCGTCCGCGGAGAGAATCGCGACGCTCTGGGGCGTCCGGGGAGAGCATCGCGATGATCTGGGGCGTCCGGGGAGAGCATCGCGACGCTCTGGGGCGTCAGGGGAGAGCATCGCGACGCTCTGGGGCGTCCAGAAAGAGCATCGCGATGCTCCGGGGCGGCTGGGGAGAGCATCGTGATGCTCTGGGGCGTCCGAGGAGAGCATCGCGACGCTCTGGGGCGTTCGGGGAGAGCATCGCGACGCTCCGGGGCGTCCGGGGAGAGCATCGCGACGCTCTGGGGCGTCCGGGGAGAGCATCGTGATGCTTCGGGGCGGCTGCGGAGAGCATTGGATGCTTTGGGGCGTCCGGGGAGAGCATCGCGACGCTCTGGGGCGTCCGAGGAGAGCATCGCGACGCTCTGGGGCGTCCGGGGAGAGCATCGCGACGCTCTGGGGCGTCCGGAGAGAGCATTGCGACGCTCTGGGGCGTCCGGAGAGAGTATCGCGACGCTCTGGGGCAGCTGGGGAGAGCGTCGCGACGCTCTAGGGCGTCCGGGGAGAGCATCGCGACGCTCTGGAGCGTCCGGAGAGAGCATCGCGATGCTCCGGGGCGGCTGGGGAGAGCATCGCGACGCTCTGGGGCGTCCGGGGAGAGCATCGCGACGCTCTGGGGCGTCCGGGGAGAGCATCTCGATGCTCTAGGGCGTCCGGGGAGAGCATCCCGACGCTCTGGGGCGTTCGGGGAGAGCATCGCGACGCTCTGGGGCGTCCGGGGAGAGCATCGTGACGCTCTGGGGCGTCCGGGGAGAGCATCGCGACGCTCTGGGGCGTCTGGGGAGAGCATCGCGATGCTCCGGGGCGGATGGGGAGAGCATCGCGACGCTCTGGGGCGTTCGGGGAGAGCATCGCGACGCTCTGGGGCGTCCGGGGAGAGCATCGCGACACTCTGGGGCGTCCGGGGAGAGCATCGCAATGCTCTGGGGCAGCTGGGGAGAGCATCGCGACGCTCTGGGGCGTCCGCGGAGAGCATCGCAACGCTCTGGGGCGTCCGGAGAGAGCATCGCGATGCTCCGGGGCGGCTGGGGAGAGCATCGCGATGCTCTGCGGCGTCCGGGGAGAGCATCGCGACGCTCTAGGGCGTCCGAGGAGAGCATCGCGATGCTCCGGGGCGGCTGGGGAGAGTATCGCGATGCTCTGGGGCGTCCGGGGAGAACATCGCGACGCTCTGGGGAGTCCGGGGAGAGCATCGCGACGCTCTGGGGCGTCCGGGAAGAGCATCGCGACGCTCTGGGGCGTCCGCGGAGAGAATCGCGACGCTCTGGGGCGTCCGGGGAGAGCATCGCGATGATCTGGGGCGTCCGGGGAGAGCATCGCGACGCTCTGGGGCGTCAGGGGAGAGCATCGCGATGCTCTGGGGCGTCCAGAGAGAGCATCGCGATGCTCCAGGGCGGCTGGGGAGAGCATCGTGATGCTCTGGGGCGTCCGAGGAGAGCATCGCGACGCTCTGGGGCGTCCAGGGAGAGCATCGCGACGCTCTGGGGCGTCCGGGGAGAGCATCGCGACGCTCTGGAGCGTCCAAGAAGAGCATCGCGATGCTCCGGGGCGGCTGGGGAGAGCATTGGATGCTCTGGGGCGTCCGGGGAGAGCATCGCGACGCTCTGGGGCGTCCGAGGAGAGCATCGCAACGCTCTGGGGCGTCCGGGGAGAGCATCGCGACGCTCTGGGGTGTCCGGAGAGAGCATTGCGACGCTCTGGGGCGTCCGGAGAGAGTATCGCGACGCTCTGGGGCAGCTGGGGAGAGCATCGCGACGCTCTGGGGCGTCCGGGGAGAGCATCGCGACGCTCTGGGGCGTCCGGGGAGAGCATCTCGATGCTCTAGGGCGTCCGGGGAGAGCATCCTGACGCTCTGGGGTGTTCGGGGAGAGCATCGCGACGCTCTGGGGCGTCCGGGGAGAGCATCGCGACGCTCTGGGGCGTCCGGGGAGAGCATCGCGACGCTCTGGGGCATGCGGGGAGAGCATCGCGAGGCTCTGGGGCGTCCGGGGAGAGCATCGCGACGCTCTGGGGCGTCCGGGGAGAGCATCGCGACGCTCTGGGGCGTCCGGGGAGAGCATCGCGACGCTCCGGGGCGGTTGGGGAGAGCATCGCGACGCTCTGGGGCGTCGGGGGAGAGCATCCCGACGCTCTGAAGCGTCCGGGGAGAGCATCGCGATGCTCTGGGGCGTCCGCGGAGAGCATCGCGACGCTCTGGGGCGTCCGGGGAGAGCATCGCGATGCTCCGGGGCGGCTGGGGAGAGTATCGCAATGCTCTGGGGCGTCCGGGAAGAACATCGCGACGCTCTGGGGCGTCTGGGGAGAGCATCGCGACGCTCTGGGGCGTCCGCGGAGAAAATCGCGACGCTCTGGGGCGTCCGGGGAGAGCATCGCGACGCTCTGGGGCGTCCGGGGAGAGCATCGCGACGCTTTGGGGCGTCCGGGGAGAGCATCGCGACGCTCTGGGGCGTCCGGGGAGAGCATCGCGACGCTCTGGGGCGGTTGGGGAGAGCATCGCGATGCTCCGGGGCGGCTGGGGAGAGCATCGCGATGCTCTGGGTCGTCCGGGGAGAGCATCGCTACGCTGTGGGGCGTCCGGGGAGAGCATCGCGACGCTCTGGGGCGTGCGGGGAGAGCATCGCGATGCTCTGAGGCGTCCGGGGAGAGCATCGTGACGCTCTAGGGCGTCAGAGGAGAGCATCGCGTCGCTCTGGGCGGCGGGGAGAGCATCGCCACGCTCTGGGGCGTCCGGGGAGAGCATCACGACGCTCTGGGGCGTCCGGGGAGAGCATCGCGATGCTCTGGGGCGTCCGGGGAGAGCATCGCGACGCTCTGGGGCGTCCAGGGAGAGCATCGCGATGCTCCGGGGCGGCTGGGGAGAGCATTGGATGCTCTGGGGCGTCCGGCGAGAGCATCGCGACGCTCTGGGGCGTCCGGGGACAGCATCGCGACGCTCTGGGGCGTCCGGGGAGACATCGCGACGCTCTGGGGCGTCCGGGGAGAGCATTGCGACGCCCTGGGCGTCCGGGGAGAGCATCGCGACGCTCTGGGGCAGCTGGGGAGAGCATCGCGACGCTCTGGGGCGTCCGGGGAGAGCATCAACGACGCTCTGGGGCGTCCGGGGAGAGCATCGCGATGCTCTGGGGCGTCCGGGGAGAGCATCACGACGCTCTGGGGCGTCCGGGGAGAGCATCGCGATGCTCCAGGGCGGCTGGGAAGAGCATTGGATGCTCTGGGGCGTCCGGGGAGAGCATCGCGACGCTCTGGGGCGTCCGGGAAGAGCATCGCGACGCTCTGGGGCGTCCAGGGAGAACATCGCTGCTCTCTGGGTCGTCCGGGGAGAGCATCGCGACGCTCTAGGGCGTCCGGGGAGAGCATCGCGAGGCTCTAGGGCGGCTGGGGAGAGCATCGCGATGCTCTTGGGCGTCCGGGGAGATCATCGCGACGCTCTGGGGCGTCCGGGGAGAGCATCGCGATGCTCTGGGGCGTCCGGGGAGAGCATCGCGACGCTCTGGGGCGTCTGGGGAGAGCATCGCGATGCTCCGGGGCGTCCAGGGAGAGCATCGCGACGCTCTGGGGCGTCCGGGGAGAGCATCGCGACGCTGTGGGCCGTCCGGGGAGAGCATCACGACGCTCTGGGGCGTCCGGAGAGAGCATCGCGACGCTCTGGGGCGTCCGAGGAGAGCATCGCGACGCTCTGGGGCGTCCGGGGAGAGCATCACGACGCTCTGGGGCGTCCGGAGAGAGCATCGCGATGCTCCGGGGTGGCTAGGGAGAGCATCGCGATGCTCCGAGGCGTCCGGGGAGAGCATTGCGACGCTCTGGAGCGTCCGGGGAGAGCATCGCGACGCTCTGGGGCGTCTCGGGACAGCATCGCGACGCTCTGGGGCGTCCGGGAAGAGCATCGCGACGCTCTGGATCGTTCGGGGAGAGCATCGCGACGCTCTGGGGCGTCCGGGGAGAGCATCGCGACGCTCTGGGGCGTCCGGGGAGAGCATCGCAACGCTCTGGGGCAGCTGGGGAGAGCATCGCGACGCTCTGGGGCGTCCGCGGAGAGCATCGCAACGCTCTGGGGCGTCCGGAGAGAGCATCGCGATGCTCCGGGGCGGCTGGGGAGAGCATCGCGATGCTCTGCGGCGTCCGGGGAGAGCATCGCGACGCTCTAGGGCGTCCGAGGAGAGCATCGCGATGCTCCGGGGCGGCTGGGGAGAGTATCACGATGCTCTGGGGCGTCCGGGGAGAGCATCGCGACGCTCTGGGGCGTCCACGGAGAGCGTCGCGATGCTCTGGGGCGTCCACGGAGAGAATCTCGACGCTCTGGGGCGTCCGGGGAGAGCATCGCGATGATCTGGGGCGTCCGGGGAGTGCATCGCGACGCTCTGGGGCGTCAGGGGAGAGCATCGCGATGCTCTGGGGCGTCCAGAGAGAGCATCGCGATGCTCTGGGGCGGCTGGGGAGAGCATCGTGATGCTCTGGGGCGTCCGAGGAGAGCATCGCGACGCTCTGGGGCGTCCAGGGACAGCATCGCGACGCTCTGGGGCGTTCGGGGAGAGCATCGCGACGCTCTGGGGCGTCCGGGAAGAGCATCGCGATGCTCCGGGGTGGCTGGGGAGAGCATTGGATGCTTTGGGGCGTCCGGGGAGAGCATCGCGACGCTCTGGGGCGTCCGAGGAGAGCATCGCGACGCTCTGGGGCGTCCGGGGAGAGCATCGCGACGCTCTGGGGCGTCCGGAGAGAGCATTGCGACGCTCTGGGGCGTCCGGAGAGAGTATCGCGACGCTCTGGGGCGGCTGGGGAGAGCATCGCGACGCTCTGGGGCGTCCGGGGAGAGCATCGCGACGCTCTGGGGCGTCCGGGGAGAGCATCGCGACGCTCTGGGGCATGCGGGGAGAGCATCGCGACGCTCTGGGGCGTCCGGGGAGAGCATCGCGACGCTCTGGGGCGTCCGGGGAGAGCATCGCGACGCTCTGGGGCGTCCGGGGAGAGCATCGCGACGCTCCGGGGCGGTTGGGGAGAGCATCGCGACGCTCTGGGGCGTCCGGGGAGAGCATCCCCATGCTCTGAAGCGTCCGGGGAGAGCATCGCGATGCTCTGGGGCGTCCGCGGAGAGCATCGCGACGCTCTGGGGCGTCCGGGGAGAGCATCGCGATGCTCCGGGGCGGCTGGGGAGAGTATCGCAATGCTCTGGGGCGTCCGGGAAGAACATCGCGACGCTCTGGGGCGTCTGGGGAGAGCATCGCGACGCTCTGGGGCGTCCGAGGAGAGCATCGCGACGCTCTGGGGCGTCCGCGGAGAGAATCGCGACGCTCTGGGGCGTCCGGGGAGAGCATCGCGACGCTCTGGGGCGTCCGGGGAGAGCATCGCGACGCTTTGGGGCGTCCGGGGAGAGCATCGCGACGCTCTGGGGCGTCCGGGGAGAGCATCGCGACGCTCTGGGGCGGTTGGGGAGAGCATCGCGATGCTCCGGGGCGGCTGGGGAGAGCATCGCGACGCTCTGGGGCGTCTGGGGAGAGCATCGCGATGCTCCGGGGCGTCTGGGGAGAACATCGCGATGCTCTGGGGCGTCCGGGGAGAGCATCGCGACGCTCTGGGGCGTCTGGGGAGAGCATCGCGATGCTCCGGGGCGTCCGGGGAGAGCATCGCGACGCTCTGGGGCGTCCGGGGAGAGCATCGCGACGCTGTGGGCCGTCCGGGGAGAGCATCACGACGCTCTGGGGCGTCCGGAGAGAGCATCGCGACGCTCTGGGGCGTCCGAGGAGAGCATCGCGACGCTCTGGGGCGTCCGGGGAGAGCATCACGACGCTCTGGGGCGTCCAGAGAGAGCATCGCGATGCTCTGGGGTGGCTAGGGAGAGCATCGCGATGCTCCGAGGCGTCCGGGGAGAGCATTGCGACGCTCTGGAGCGTCCGGGGAGAGCATCGCGATGCTCTGGGGCGTCTCGGGACAGCATCGCGACGCTCTGGGGCGTCCGGGAAGAGCATCGCGACGCTCTGGGTCGTCCGGGGAGAGCATCGCGACGCTCTGGGGCGGAGGGGAGAGCATCGCGACGCTCTGGGGCGTCCGGGGAGAGCATCACGACGCTCTGGGGCGTCCGGGGAGAGCATCGCGATGCTCTGGGGCGTCCAGGGAGAGCATCACTACGCTCTGGGGCGTCCGGGGAGAGCATCGCGATGCTCTGGGGCGGCTGGGGAGAGCATCGCGACGCTCTGGGGCGTCCGGGGAGAGCATCGCGACGCTCTGGGGCGTCCGGGGAGAGCATCGCGACGCTCTGGGGCGTCCGGGGAGAGCATTGCGACGCTCTAGGGCGTCCGGGGAGAGCATCACGACGCTCTAGGGCGGCTGGGGAGAGCATCGCGATGCTCTCGGGTGTCCGGGGAGAGCATCGCGACGCTCTGGGGCGTCCGGGGAGAGCATTGCGACGCTCTGGGGCGTCCGGGGAGAGCATCGCGATGCTCTGGGGTGTCCGGGGAGAGCATCGCGCACTCTGGGGCGTACGGGGAGAGCATCGCGATGCTCCGGGGCGGCTGCGGAGAGCATTGGAATGCTCTGGGGCGTCCGGGGGGAGCATCGCGACGCTCTGGGGCTTCCGGGGAGAGCATTGCGACGCTCTGGGGCGTCCAAGGAGAGCATTGCGACGCTCTGGGGCGTCCGGGGAGAGCACTGCGACGCTCTGGGGCGTCCGGGGAGAGCATCACGACGCTCTGGGGCGTCCGGGGAGAGCACTGCGACGCTCTGGGGCGTCCGGGGAGAGCATCACGACGCTCTGGGGCGTCCGGGGAGAGCATCGCGATGCTCCGGGGCGGCTGGGGAGAGCATCGCGACGCTCTGGGGCGTCCGGGGAGAGCATCGCGGCGTCCAAAGAGAGCATCGCGACGCTCTGGGTCGTCCGGGGAGAGCATCGCAACGCTCTAGGGTGTCCGGGGAGAGCATCGCGACGCTCTAGGGCGGCTGGGGTGAGCATCGCGATGCTCTTGGGCGTCCGGGGAGAGCATCGCGACGCTCTGGGGCGTCCGGGAAGAGCATCGCGTTGCTCTGGGGCGTCCGGGGAGAGCATCGCGACGCTCAGGGGCGTCCGGGGAGAGCATCGCGATGCTCCGGGGCGTCCGAGGAGAGCATCGCGACGCTCTGGGGCGTCGGGGGAGAGCATCGCGACGCTCTGGGGCGTCCGGGGAGAGCATCGCGACGCTCTGGGGCGTCCGAGGAGAGCATCGCGACGCTCTGGGGCGTCCGGGGAGAGCATCGCGACGCTCTGGGGCGTCCGGAGAGAGCATCGCGATGCTCTGGGGCGGCTGGGGAGAGCATCGCGATGCTCCGGGGCGTCCGGGGAGAGCATTGCGACGCTCTGGGGCGTCCGGGGAAAGCATCACGACGCTCTGGGGCGTCCCGGGACAGCATCGCGACGCTCTGGGGCGTCCGAGGAGAGCATCGCGACGCTCTGGGTCGTCCGGGGAGAGCATCGCGACGCTCTGGGGCGGAGGGGAGAGCATCGCGACGCTCTGGGGCGTTCGGGGAGAGCATCATGACGCTCTGGAGCGTCCGGGGAGAGCATTGCGATGCTCTGGGGCGTCCGGGGAGAGCATTGCGATGCTCTGGGGCGTCCGGGGAGAGCATCACGACGCTCTGGGGCGTCCGGGGAGAGCATCGCGATGCTTCGGGGCGGCTGGGGAGAGCATTGGATGCTCTGGGGTGTCCGGGAGAGCATCGCGACGCTCTGGGGCGTCCGGGGAGAGCATCGCGACGCTCTAGGGCGTCCGGGGAGAGCATCGTGACGCTCTGGGGCGTCCGGGGAGAGCATTGCGACGCTCTAGGGCGTCCGGGGAGAGCATCGCGACGCTCTAGGGCGGCTGGGGAGAGCATCGCGATGCTCTGGGGCGTCCAGGGAGAGCATTGCGACGCTCTGGGGCGTCCGGGGAGAGCATCGCGATGCTCTGGGGTGTCCGGGGAGAGCATCGCGACGCTCTGGGACGTCCGGGGAGAGCATCGCGATGCTCCGGGGCGGCTGGGGAGAGCATCGTGATGCTCTGGGGCGTCCGGGGGGAGCATCACGACGCTCTGGGGCGTCCGGGGAGAGCATCGTGATGCTCTGGGGCGTCCGGGGAGAGCATTGCGACGCTCTGGGGCGTCCGGGAAGAGCATCGCGGCGCTCTGGGGCGTCCGGGGAGAGCATCACGATGCTCTGGGGCGTCCGGGGAGAGCATCGCGACGCTCTGGGGCGTCCGGGGAGAGCATCGCGACGCTCTGGGGCGTCCGAGGAGAGCATCGCGACGCTCTGGGGCGTCCGGGGAGAGCATCGCGACGCTCTGGGGCGGGAGGGGAGAGCATCGCGACGCTCTGAGGCGTCCGGGGAGAGCATCGCGATGCTCCGGGGCGGCTAGGGAGAGCATCGCGATGCTCTGGGGCGTCCGGAGAGAGCATCGCGATGCTGTGCGGCGTCCGGGGAGAGCATCACGACGCTCTGGGGCGTCCGGAGAGAGCATCGCGATGCTCCGGGGCGGCTGGGGAGAGCATCACGATGCTCTGGGGCGTCCGGGGAGAGCATCGCGACGCTCTGGGGCGTCCGGGGAGAGCATCGCGACGCTCTGTGGCGTCCGAGGAGAGCATTGCGACGCTCTGGGTCGGCTGGGGAGTGCATCGCGACGCTCTGGGGCGTCCGGGGAGAGCATGGCGACGCTCTGGGGCGTCCGGGGAGAGCATCGCGATGCTCTGGGGCGTCCGGGGAGAGCATCGCGACGCTCTGGGGCGTCCGGGGAGAGCATCGCGACGCTCTGGGGCGTCCGGGGAGAGCATCGCGACGCTCTGGGGCAGCGGGGAGAGCATCGCGACGCTCTGGGGCGTCCCGAGAGAGCATCACGACGCTCTGGGGCGTCAGGGGAGAGCATCGCGATGCTCTGGGGCGTCCGAGGAGAGCATCGCAATGCTCTGGGGCGTCCGGGGAGAGCATCGCGATGCTCCAGGGCGGCTGGGGAGAGCATTGGATGCTCTGGGGCGTCCGGGGAGAGCATCGCGATGCTCTGGGGCGTCCGGGGAGAGCATCGCGACGCTCTTGGGCGTCCGGGGAGAGCATCACGACGCTCTGGGGCGTCCGGAGAGAGCATTGCGACGCTCTGGGGCGGCTGGGGAGAGCATCACAATGCTCTTGGGCGTCCGCGGAGAGTATCGCGACGCTCTGGGGCGTCCGGGGAGAGCATCGCGACGCTCTGGGGCATCCCGGGAGAGCATCGCGACGCTCTGGGGCGTCCGGGGAGAGCATCGCGACGCTCTGGGGCGTCCGGGGAGAGCATCGCGACGCTCTGGGGCGGCGGGGAGAGCATCGCGACGCTCTGGGGCGTCCGGGGAGAGCATCACGACGCTCTGGGGTGTCCGGGGAGAGCATCGCGATGCTCCGGGGCGGCTGGGGAGAGCATTGGATGCTCTGGGGCGTCCGGGGAGAGCATCACGATGCTCTGGGGCGTCCGGGGAGAGCATCGCGACACTCTGGGGCGTCCGGGGAGAGCATCGCGACGCTCTGGGGCGTCCGGGGAGAGCATTGCGACGCTCTGGGTCGTCCGGGGAGAGCATCGCTGTTATAATCACAATAGGCTTCAATGTGCCTAGAACGAAAGATAGGGTGCACAGTCGGATTTCCGCACAGCGGCTTTAAACGTTCATAGCGATCTGGTCACGGCTCCAAATGACCTCATTCAACTTGGATCTAGAGCGTCTTAACGTCTCCTACAATAGGCAATTTATATCGCACGATTTCATCAAGAATTGATGACACAGCGTCAGATTGAACGAACGGCACTATGGCAGGAACATAGTCTTAGAAGACACAATTACGAACAGCTAGGAAGAGTTGCGAGTTGGGAAGGACTCCCAGCTCCTACAAACCCCAAGAGCCGAGGTACAGTGATGGGGAACAGTGCCACACTGTCCCCAACCAAGAAGGGTCTCGAAACTACCTTTCACAAGGGCCTACACCAACTGAAATGTTACACTACACTTTGTAATGTAACTATCTTCAATCTCTTGAGGTGTAGCCTTTTGGCGAGCTTCGAAAACACTTGAAGCTTGAACCAAGGCTCGGGTTCTTCATCACAAAACTCATCCTTGAGTTCTTGATGGGTCTGCTGCACACACCTGCGATACGCCGAACGTTCGACACAGGACAAAATGGAAACCGCGCACGGGACACACGACAAAATAGAAACCGCGCGCGAGACACAAATGACCGCATTAACACGCGGCTAGCGATAACTCGCTATTGACTCATACCACACACACTCGACATCATGACCCATCATACACACACCATTATAAGCATGAAATATATATTAATTTCATGCACTCATACCACACCATGCACACACGCATGCACGCACACGCAGACTCAACAAGCCGAGTTCAAACCGTAGGGTTGCACCAACAATCGCGACGCTCTGGGGCGGCTGGGGAGAGCATCGCGATGCTCTGGAGCGTCCGGGGAGAGCATCGCAACGCTTTGGGGCGTCCGGGGAGAGCATCGCGACGCTCTGGGGCGTCTGAGGAGAGCATCGCGACGCTCTGGGGCGTCCAGGGAGAGCATAGCGACACTCTGGGGCGTCCGGAGAGAGCATTGCGACGCTCTGGGGCGTCCGGAGAGAGTATCGCGACGCTCTGGGGCAGCTGGGGAGAGCATCGCGACGCTCTGGGGCGTCCGGGGAGAGCATCGCGACGCTCTGGGGCGTCCGGGGAGAGCATCTCGATGCTCTAGGGCGTCCGAGGAGAGCATCCCGACGCTCTGGGGCGTTCGGGGAGAGCATCACGACGCTCTGGGGCGTCCGGGGAGAGCATCGCGACGCTCTGGGGCGTCCGGGGAGAGCATCGCGACGCTCTAGGGCGTCTTGGGAGAGCATCGCGACGCTCCGGGGCGGATGGGGAGAGCATCGCGACGCTCTGGGGCGTTCGGGGAGAGCATCGCGACGCTCTGGGGCGTCCGGGGAGAGCATCGCGACGCTCTGGGGCGTCCGGGGAGAGCATCGCAACGCTCTGGGGCAGCTGGGGAGAGCATCGCGACGCTCTGGGGCGTCCGCGGAGAGCATCGCAACGCTCTGGGGCGTCCGGAGAGAGCATCGCGATGCTCCGGGGCGGCTGGGGAGAGCATCGCGATGCTCTGCGGCGTCCGGGGAGAGCATCGCGACGCTCTAGGGCGTCCGAGGAGAGCATCGCGATGCTCCGGGGCGGCTGGGGAGAGTATCGCGATGCTCTGGGGCGTCCGGGGAGAACATCGCGACGCTCTGGGGAGTCCGGGGAGAGCATCGCGACGCTCTGGGGCGTCCGGGAAGAGCATCGCGACGCTCTGGGGCGTCCGCGGAGAGAATCGCGACGCTCTGGGGCGTCCGGGGAGAGCATCGCGATGATCTGGGGCGTCCGGGGAGAGCATCGCAACGCTCTGGGGCGTCAAGGGAGAGCATCGCGATGCTCTGGGGCGTCCAGAGAGAGCATCGCGATGCTCCAGGGCGGCTGGGGAGAGCATCGTGATGCTCTGGGGCGTCCGAGGAGAGCATCGCGACGCTCTGGGGCGTCCGAGGAGAGCATCGCGACGCTCCGCGGCGGCTGGGGAGAGCATTGGATGCTCTGGGGCGTCCGGGGAGAGCATCGCGACGCTCTGGGGCGTCCGAGGAGAGCATCGCGACGCTCTGGGGCGTCCGGGGAGAGCATCGCGACGCTCTGGGGCGTCCGGAGAGAGCATAGCGACGCTCTGGGGCGTCCGGAGAGAGTATCGCGACGCTCTGGGGCAGCTGGGGAGAGCATCGCGACGCTCTGGGGCGTCCGGGGAGAGCATCGCGACGCTCTGGGGCGTCCGGGGAGAGCATCTCGATGCTCTAGGGCGTCCGGGGAGAGCATCCCGACGCTCTGGGGCGTTCGGGGAGAGCATCGCGACGCTCTGGGGCATCCGGGGAGAGCATCGCGACGCTCTGGGGCGTCCGGGGAGAGCATCGCGACGCTCTGGGGCATGCGGGGAGAGCATCGCAACGCTCTGGGGCGTCCGGGGAGAGCATCGCGACGCTCTGGGGCGTCCGGGGATAGCATCGCGACGCTCTGGGGCGTCCGGGGAGAGCATCGCGACGCTCCGGGGCGGTTGGGGAGAGCATCGCGACGCTCTGGGGCGTCCGGGGAGAGCATCCCGACGCTCTGAAGCGTCCGGGGAGAGCATCGCGATGCTCTGGGGCGTCCGCGGAGAGCATCGCGACGCTCTGGGGCGTCCGGGGAGAGCATCGCGATGCTCCGGGGCGGCTGGGGAGAGTATCGCAATGCTCTGGGGCGTCCGGGAAGAACATCGCGACGCTCTGGGGCGTCTGGGGAGAGCATCGCGACGCTCTGGGGCGTCCGAGGAGAGCATCGCGACGCTCTGGGGCGTCCGCGGAGAGAATCGCGACGCTCTGGGGCGTCCGGGGAGAGCATCGCGACGCTCTGGGGCGTCCGGGGAGAGCATCGCGACGCTTTGGGGCGTCCGGGGAGAGCATCGCGACGCTCTGGGGCGTCCGGGGAGAGCATCGCAACGCTCTGGGGCGGTTGGGGAGAGCATCGCGATGCTCCGGGGCGGCTGGGGAGAGCATCGCGATGCTCTGGGGCGTCCGGGGAGAGCATCGCTACGCTGTGGGGCGTCCGGGGAGAGCATCGCGACGCTCTGGGGCGTCCGGGGAGAGCATCGGGACGTTCTGAGGCGTCCGGGGAGAGCATCGTGACGCTCTAGGGCGTCAGAGGAGAGCATCGCGTCGCTCTGGGCGGCGGGGAGAGCATCGCCACGCTCTGGGGCGTCCGGGGAGAGCATCACGACGCTCTGGGGCGTCCGGGGAGAGCATCGCGATGCTCTGGGGCGTCCGTGGAGAGCATCGCGACGCTCTGGGGCGTCCAGGGAGAGCATCGCGATGCTCCGGGGCGGCTGGGGAGAGCATTGGATGCTCTGGGGCGTCCGGGGAGAGCATCGCAACGCTCTGGGGCGTCCGGGGACAGCATCGCGACGCTCTGGGGCGTCCGGGGAGACATCGCGACGCTCTGGGGCATGCGGGGAGAGCATCGCGACGCTCTGGGGCGTCCGGGGAGAGCATCGCGACGCTCTGGGGCGTCTGGGGAGAGCATCGCGACGCTCTGGGGCGTCCGGGGAGAGCATCGCGACGCTCCGGGGCGGTTGGGGAGAGCATCACGACGCTCTGGGGCGTCCAGGGAGAGCATCCCGACGCTCTGAAGCGTCCGGGGAGAGCATCGCGATGCTCTGGGGCTTCCGCGGAGAGCATCGCGACGCTCTGGGGCGTCCGGGGAGAGCATTGCGATGCTCCGGGGCGGCTGGGGAGAGTATCGCAATGCTCTGGGGCGTCCGGGAAGAACATCGCGACGCTCTGGGGCGTCTGGGGAGAGCATCGCGACGCTCTGGGGCGTCCGAGAAGAGCATCGCGACGCTCTGGGGCGTCCGCGGAGAGAATCGCGACGCTCTGGGGCGTCCGGGGAGAGCATCGCGACGCTCTGGGGCGTCCGGGGAGAGCATCGCGACGCTTTGGGGCGTCCGGGGAGAGCATCGCGACGCTCTGGGGCGTCCGGGGAGAGCATCGCGACGCTCTGGGGCGGTTGGGGAGAGCATCGCGATGCTCCGGGGCGGCTGGGGAGAGCATCGCGATGCTCTGGGGCGTCTGGGGAGAGCATCGCTACGCTGTGGGGCGTCCGGGGAGAGCATCGCGACGCTCTGGGGCGTCCGGAGAGAGCATCGCGACGCTCTGAGTCGTCCGGGGAGAGCATCGTGACGCTCTAGGGCGTCAGAGGAGAGCATCGCGTCGCTCTGGGCGGCGGGGAGAGCATCGCCACGCTCTGGGGCGTCCGGGGAGAGCATCACGACGCTCTGGGGCGTCCGGGGAGAGCATCGCGATGCTCTGGGGCGTCCGGGGAGAGCATCGCGAAGCTCTGGGGCGTCCAGGGAGAGCATCGCGATGCTTCGGGGCGGCTGGGGAGAGCATTGGATGCTCTGGGGCGTCCGGGGAGAGCATCGCAACGCTCTGGGGCGTCCGGGGACAGCATCGCGACGCTCTGGGGCGTCCGGGGAGACATCGCGACGCTCTGGGGCGTCCGGGGAGAGCATTGCGACGCCCTGGGGCGTCCGGGGAGAGCATCGCGACGCTCTGGGGCAGCTGGGGAGAGCATCGCGACGCTCTGGGGCGTCCGGGGAGAGCATCACGACGCTCTGGGGCGTTCGGGGAGAGCATCGTGATGCTCTGGGGCGTCCGGGGAGAGCATCACGACGCTCTGGGGCGTCCGGGGAGAGCATCGCGATGCTCCAGGGCGGCTGGGAAGAGCATTGGATGCTCTGGGGCGTCCAGGGAGAGCATCGCGACGCTCTGGGGCGTCCGGGGAGAGCATCGCGACGCTCTGGGGCGTCCAGGGAGAGCATCACTGCTCTCTGGGTCGTCCGGGGAGAGCATCGCGACGCTCTAGGGCGTCCGGGGAGAGCATCGACGCTCTAGGGCGGCTGGGGAGAGCATCGCGATGCTCTTGGGCGTCCGGGGAGAGCATCGCGACGCTCTGGGGCGTCCGGGGAGAGCATCGCGACGCTCCGGGGCGGTTGGGGAGAGCATCGCGACGCTCTGGGGCGTCCGGGGAGAGCATCCCGACGCTCTGAAGCGTCCGGGGAGAGCATCGCGATGCTCTGGGGCGTCCGCGGAGAGCATCGCGACGCTCTGGGGCGTCCGGGGAGAGCATCGCGATGCTCCGGGGCGGCTGGGGAGAGTATCGCAATGCTCTGGGGCGTCCGGGAAGAACATCGCGACGCTCTGGGGCGTCTGGGGAGAGCATCGCGACGCTCTGGGGCGTCCGAGGAGAGCATCGCGACGCTCTGGGGCGTCCGCGGAGAGAATCGCGACGCTCTGGGGCGTCCGGGGAGAGCATCGCGACGCTCTGGGGCATGCGGGGAGAGCATCGCGACGCTCTGGGGCGTCCGGGGAGAGCATCGCGACGCTCTGGGGCGTCCGGGGAGAGCATCGCGACGCTCTGGGTCGTCCGGGGAGAGCATCGCGACGCTCCGGGGCGGTTGGGGAGAGCATCACGACGCTCTGGGGCGTCCGGGGAGAGCATCCCGACGCTCTGAAGCGTCCGGGGAGAGCATCGCGATGCTCTGGGGCGTCCGCGGAGAGCATCGCGACGCTCTGGGGCGTCCGGGGAGAGCATTGCGATGCTCCGGGGCGGCTGGGGAGAGTATCGCAATGCTCTGGGGCGTCCGGGAAGAACATCACGACGCTCTGGGGCGTCTGGAGAGAGCATCGCGACGCTCTGGGGCGTCCGAGGAGAGCATCGCGACGCTCTGGGGCGTCCGCGGAGAGAATTGCGACGCTCTGGGGCGTCCGAGGAGAGCATCGCGACGCTCTGGGGCGTCCGGGGAGAGCATCGCGACGCTTTGGGGCGTCCGGGGAGAGCATCGCGACGCTCTGGGGCGTCCGGGGAGAGCATCGCGACGCTCTGGGGCGGTTGGGGAGAGCATCGCGATGCTCCGGGGCGGCTGGGGAGAGCATCGCGATGCTCTGGGGCGTCCGGGGAGAGCATCGCTACGCTGTGGGGCGTCCGGGGAGAGCATCGCGACGCTCTGGGGCGTCCGGGGAGAGCATCGCGACGCTCTGAGGCGTCCGGGGAGAGCATCGTGACGCTCTAGGGCGTCAGAGGAGAGCATCGCGTCGCTCTGGGCGGCGGGGAGAGCATCGCCACGCTCTGGGGCGTCCGGGGAGAGCATCACGACGCTCTGGGGCGTCCGGGGAGAGCATCGCGATGCTCTGGGGCGTCCGGGGAGAGCATCGCGACGCTCTGGGGCGTCCAGGGAGAGCATCGCGATGCTCCGGGGCGGCTGGGGAGAGCATTGGATGCTCTGGGGCGTCCGGGGAGAGCATCGCAACGCTCTGGGGCGTCCGGGGACAGCATTGCGACGCTCTGGGGCGTCCGGGGAGACATCGCGACGCTCTGGGGCGTCCGGGGAGAGCATTGCGACGCCCTGGGGCGTTCGGGGAGAGCATCGCGACGCTCTGGGGCAGCTGGGGAGAGCATCGCGACGCTCTGGGGCGTCCGGGGAGAGCATCGCGATGCTCTGGGGCGTCCGGGGAGAGCATCACGACGCTCTGGGGCGTCCGGGGAGAGCATCGCGATGCTCCAGGGCGGCTGGGAAGAGCATTGGATGCTCTGGGGCGTCCGGGGAGAGCATCGCGACGCTCTGGGGCGTCCGGTGAGAGCATCGCGACGCTCTGGGGCGTCCAAGGAGAGCATCGCTGCTCTCTGGGTCGTCCGGGGAGAGCATCGCGACGCTCTAGGGCGTCCGGGGAGAGCATCGCGACGCTCTAGGGCGGCTGGGGAGAGCATCGCGATGCTCTTGGGCGTCCGGGGAGAGCATCGCGACGCTCTGGGGCGTACAGGGAGAGCATCGCGATGCTTTGGGGCGTCCGGGGAGAGCATCGCGACGCTCTGGGGCGTCTGGGGAGAGCATCGCGATGCTTCGGGGCGTCCGGGGAGAGCATCGCGACGCTCTGGGGCGTCCGGGGAGAGCATCGCGACGCTGTGGGCCGTCCGGGGAGAGCATCACGACGCTCTGGGGCGTCCGGAGAGAGCATCGCGACGCTCTGGGGCGTCCGAGGAGAGCATCGCGACGCTTTGGGGCGTCCGGGGAGAGCATCACGACGCTCTGGGGCGTCCGGAGAGAGCATTGCGATGCTCCGGGGTGGCTAGGGAGAGCATCGCGATGCTCCGAGGCGTCCGGGGAGAGCATTGCAACGCTCTGGAGCGTCCGGGAAGAGCATCGCGACGCTCTGGGGCGTCTCGGGACAGCATCGCGACGCTCTGGGGCGTCCGGGAAGAGCATCGCGACGCTCTCGGTCGTCCGGGGAGAGCATCGCGACGCTCTGGGGCGGAGGGGAGAGCATCGCGACGCTCTGGGGCGTCCGGGGAGAGCATCACGACGCTCTGGGGCGTCCGGGGAGAGCATCGCGATGCTCTGGGGCGTCCAGGGAGAGCATCACGGCGCTCTGGGGCGTCCGGGGAGAGCATCGCGATGCTCCGGGGCGGCTGGGGAGAGCATCGCGACGCTCTGGGGCGTCCGGGGAGAGCATCGCGACGCTCTGGGGCGTCCGGGGAGAGCATCGCGACGCTCTGGGGCGTCCGGGGAGAGCATTGCGACGCTCTAGGGCGTCCGGGGAGAGCATCACGACGCTCTAGGGCGGCAAGGGAGAGCATCGCGATGCTCTCGGGTGTCCGGGGAGAGCATCGCGACGCTCTGGGGCGTCCGGGGAGAGCATTGAGACGCTCTGGGGCGTCCGGGGAGAGCATCGCGATGCTCTGGGGTGTCCGGGGAGAGCATCGCGCACTCTGGGGCGTACGGGGAGAGCATCGCGATGCTCCGGGGTGGCTGGGGAGAGCATTGGAATGCTCTGGGGCGTCCGGGGGGAGCATCGCGACGCTCTGGGGCGTCCGGGGAGAGCACTGCGACGCTCTGGGGCGTTCGGGGAGAGCATCACGACGCTCTGGGGCGTCCGGGGAGAGCATCGCGATGCTCCGGGGCGGCTGGGGAGAGCATCGCGACGCTCTGGGGCGTCCGGGGAGAGCATCGCGGCGTCCAAAGAGAGCATCGCGACGCTCTGGGTCGTTCGGGGAGAGCATCGCGACGCTCTAGGGCGTCCGGGGAGAGCATCGCGACGCTCTAGGGCGGCTGGGGTGAGCATCGCGATGCTCTTGGGCGTCCGGGGAGAGCATCGCGACGCTCTGGGGCGTCCGGGAAGAGCATCGCGTTGCTCTGGGGCGTCCGGGGAGAGCATCGCGACGCTCAAGGGCGTCCGGGGAGAGCATCGCGATGCTCCGGGGCGTCCGAGGAGAGGATCGCGACGCTCTGGGGCTTCCGGGGAGAGCATCGCGACGCTCTGGGGCGTCCGGGGAGAGCATCGCGGCGCTCTGGGGCGTCCGAGGAGAGCATCGCGACGCTCTGGGGCGTCCGGGGAGAGCATCACGACGCTCTGGGGCGTCCGGAGAGAGCATCGCGATGCTCTGGGGCGGCTGGGGAGAGCATCGCGATGCTCCGGGGCGTCCGGGGAGAGCATTGCGACGCTCTGGGGCGTCCGGGGAAAGCATCACGACGCTCTGGGGCGTCCCGGGACAGCATCGCGACGCTCTGGGGCGTCCGAGGAGAGCATCGCGACGCTCTGGGTCGTCCGGGGAGAGCATCGCGACGCTCTGGGGCGGAGGGGAGAGCATCGCGACGCTCTGGGGCGTTCGGGGAGAGCATCATGACGCTCTGGGGCGTCCGGGGAGAGCATCGCGATGCTCCGGGGCGGCTGGGGAGAGCATTGGATGCTCTGGGGCGTCCGGGAGAGCATCGCGACGCTCTGGGGCGTCCGGGGAGAGCATCGCGACGCTCTAGGGCGTCCGGGGAGAGCATCGTGACGCTCTGGGGCGTCCGGGGAGAGCATTGCGACGCTCTAGGGCGTCCGGGGAGAGCATCGTGACGCTCTAGGGCGGCTGGGGAGAGCATCGCGATGCTCTGGGGCGTCCAGGGAGAGCATTGCGACGATCTGGGGCGTCCGGGGAGAGCATCGCGATGCTCTGGGGTGTCCGGGGAGAGCATCGCGACGCTCTGGGACGTCCGGGGAGAGCATCGCGATGCTCCGGGGCAGCTGGGGAGAGCATCGCGATGCTCTGGGGCGTCCGGGGGGGGCATCACGACGCTCTGGGGCGTCCGGGGAGAGCATCGTGACGCTCTGGGGCGTCCGGGGAGATCATTGCGACGCTCTGGGGCGTCCGGGGAGAGCATCGCGGCGCTCTGGGGCGTCCGGGGAGAGCATCACGATGCTCTGGGGCGTCCGGGGAGAGCATCGCGACGCTCTGGGGCGTCCGGGGAGAGCATCGCGACGCTCTGGGGCGTCCGGGGAGAGCATCGCGACGCTCTGGGGCGTCCGAGGAGAGCATCGCGACGCTCTGGGGCGTCCGGGGAGAGCATCGCGATGCTCTGGGGCGTCCAGGGAGAGCATTGCGACGCTCTGGGGCGTCCGGGGAGAGCATCGCGATGCTCTGGGGTGTCCGGGGAGAGCATCGCGACGCTCTGGGACGTCCGGGGAGAGCATCGCGATGCTCCGGGGCAGCTGGGGAGAGCATCGCGACGCTCTGGGGCGTCCGGGGAGAGCATCGCGGCGTCCAAAGAGAGCATCGCGACGCTCTGGGTCGTCCGGGGAGAGCATCGCGACGCTCTAGGGCGTCCGGGGAGAGCATCGCGACGCTCTAGGGCGGCTGGGGTGAGCATCGCGATGCTCTTGGGCGTCCGGGGAGAGCATCGCGACGCTCTGGGGCGTCCGGGAAGAGCATCGCGTTGCTCTGGGGCGTCCGGGGAGAGCATCACGACGCTCAGGGGCGTCCGGGGAGAGCATCGCGATGCTCCGGGGCGTCCGAGGAGAGCATCGCGACACTCTGGGGCGTCCGGGGAGAGCATCGCGACGCTCTGGGGCGTCCGGGGAGAGCATCGCGACGCTCTGGGGCGTCCGAGGAGAGCATCGCGACGCTCTGGGGCGTCCGGGGAGAGCATCACGACGCTCTGGGGCGTCCGGAGAGAGCATCGCGATGCTCTGGGGCGGCTGGGGAGAGCATCGCGATGCTCCGGGGCGTCCGGGGAGAGCATTGCGACGCTCTGGGGCGTCCGGGGAAAGCATCACGACGCTCTGGGGCGTCCCGGGACAGCATCGCGACGCTCTGGGGCGTCCGAGGAGAGCATCGCGACGCTCTGGGTCGTCCGGGGAGAGCATCGCGACGCTCTGGGGCGGAGGGCAGAGCATCGCGACGCTCTGGGGCGTTCGGGGAGAGCATCATGACGCTCTGGGGCGTCCGGGGAGAGCATTGCGATGCTCTGGGGCGTCCGGGGAGAGCATCACGACGCTCTGGGGCGTCCGGGGAGAGCATCGCGATGCTCCGGGGCGGCTGGGGAGAGCATTGGATGCTCTGGGGCGTCCGGGAGAGCATCGCGACGCTCTGGGGCGTCCGGGGAGAGCATCGCGACGCTCTAGGGCGTCCGGGGAGAGCATCGTGACGCTCTGGGGCGTCCGGGGAGAGCATTGCGACGCTCTAGGGCGTCCGGGGAGAGCATCGTGACGCTCTAGGGCGGCTGGGGAGAGCATCGCGATGCTCTGGGGCGTCCAGGGAGAGCATTGCGACGATCTGGGGCGTCCGGGGAGAGCATCGCGATGCTCTGGGGTGTCCGGGGAGAGCATCGCGACGCTCTGGGACGTCCGGGGAGAGCATCGCGATGCTCCGGGGCAGCTGGGGAGAGCATCGCGATGCTCTGGGGCGTCCGGGGGGGGCATCACGACGCTCTGGGGCGTCCGGGGAGAGCATCGTGACGCTCTGGGGCGTCCGGGGAGATCATTGCGACGCTCTCGGGCGTCCGGGGAGAGCATCACGGCGCTCTGGGGCGTCCGGGGAGAGCATCACGATGCTCTGGGGCGTCCGGAGAGAGCATCGCGACGCTCTGGGGCGTCCGGGGAGAGCATCGCGACGCTCTGGGGCGTCCGGGGAGAGCATCGCGACGCTCTGGGGCGTCCGAGGAGAGCATCGCGACGCTCTGGGGCGTCCGGGGAGAGCATCGCGATGCTCTGGGGCGTCCAGGGAGAGCATTGCGACGCTCTGGGGCGTCCGGGGAGAGCATCGCGATGCTCTGGGGTGTCCGGGGAGAGCATCGCGACGCTCTGGGACGTCCGGGGAGAGCATCGCGATGCTCCGGGGCAGCTGGGGAGAGCATCGCGACGCTCTGGGGCGTCCGGGGAGAGCATCGCGGCGTCCAAAGAGAGCATCGCGACGCTCTGGGTCGTCCGGGGAGAGCATCGCGACGCTCTAGGGCGTCCGGGGAGAGCATCGCGACGCTCTAGGGCGGCTGGGGTGAGCATCGCGATGCTCTTGGGCGTCCGGGGAGAGCATCGCGACGCTCTGGGGCGTCCGGGAAGAGCATCGCGTTGCTCTGGGGCGTCCGGGGAGAGCATCACGACGCTCAGGGGCGTCCGGGGAGAGCATCGCGATGCTCCGGGGCGTCCGAGGAGAGCATCGCGACGCTCTGGGGCGTCCGGGGAGAGCATCGCGACGCTCTGGGGCGTCCGGGGAGAGCATCGCGACGCTCTGGGGCGTCCGAGGAGAGCATCGCGACGCTCTGGGGCGTCCGGGGAGAGCATCACGACGCTCTGGGGCGTCCGGAGAGAGCATCGCGATGCTCTGGGGCGGCTGGGGAGAGCATCGCGATGCTCCGGGGCGTCCGGGGAGAGCATTGCGACGCTCTGGGGCGTCCGGGGAAAGCATCACGACGCTCTGGGGCGTCCCGGGACAGCATCGCGACGCTCTGGGGCGTCCGGGGAGAGCATCGCGACGCTCTGGGTCGTGCGGGGAGAGCATCGCGACGCTCTGGGGCGGAGGGGAGAGCATCGCGACGCTCTGGGGCGTTCGGGGAGAGCATCATGACGCTCTGGGGCGTCCGGGGAGAGCATTGCGATGCTCTGGGGCGTCCGGGGAGAGCATCACGACGCTCTGGGGCGTCCGGGGAGAGCATCGCGATGCTCCGGGGCGGCTGGGGAGAGCATTGGATGCTCTGGGGCGTCCGGGAGAGCATCGCGACGCTCTGGGGCGTCCGGGGAGAGCATCGCGACGCTCTAGGGCGTCCGGGGAGAGCATCGTGACGCTCTGGGGCGTCCGGGGAGAGCATTGCGACGCTCTAGGGCGTCCGGGGAGAGCATCGCGACGCTCTAGGGCGGCTGGGGAGAGCATCGCGATGCTCTGGGGCGTCCAGGGAGAGCATTGCGACGCTCTGGGGCGTCCGGGGAGAGCATCGCGATGCTCTGGGGTGTCCGGGGATGTTAGAGATTAAGGACGGAGTCTATGAAGATTAGGGGCTGAAATATCTCAAAATCGTCAACTACAATTCTGGACAGAAAAGTCGTCGTCACAAGAAACGTCGTCGACGAAAGGTCCACTGTTAGAATTCTTTCAAACTCGATTATGTTGTAGCCCTTGACCGTGGCTATCTTTCCCAATTTGAATAGTATCAGAATATGGAGTATAACTCGAGTTATGAACTTCGGCGCACTAGGGGGTATGCTGCCATAGAAAACGTAACTCAATCACAATGATCTCACAAGTTCACACAAGAAAGTTAGAGTAGCAGTAGAACCAGGTAGGAGGGGATGAGGAGGACGAGAGGGAAGGTCCCAAGAGAGTCCCCAACCAAGGAAACCCCATGCCATACAATTCCCTTCCCCATAGGCAAACCAACTTTGACCTTTGTCACTATCCCAACCTCCACAATCCACCTCAACCCAACTTGGCCACACTTGCCAACCTGGTTTGGTTTCTCCCAACCATTTGGCAGCAACTACAGTAGAAAAGACGAATTTCCCAACCCCCAAAAGTCTGTACCCCATATTGAGTCAACCCCACAACTTCCCATAGTCACCACAACCAAATATCAAAAGCATACGAACTCCAACGTTCGTAACTTTCTAGTTCGTGCTCCGATTGAAGCGATACTTGGTTCCTCGGAAAGCTCTTGAGCAGAGGAGTCACTTCAGATATCTGCTCAAGCCAAATAACATTCACACACACACTCAGAAAAACCAAACCGCACAAAACACAAATTCTTGCACACACTCACAACACGCATGCAACGCACGAACATATGATGGGAGGCAGACAGACGTGAATGCGAATGGTAGCATCACTCAACAAACTCCCCCTCTGGCTGCCAACCATCATCCCACATGCCATAGCTCAAGCATGCATCCTCAATGCACACTCATCCCAGCAAGCTTCATGCCCTTCCAATGCTCAGATTCAGCCAGGCGCTTGGTGAGAATGTCAGCCGCCTGCTGATGGGTCTTCACAATCTCCAGCCGCACCTCCTTGTCCAGGAGCCTCCTCACCCAATGCCACTTAGGCCTGATGTGCTTCGTCAGCCCATGAAGGCAAGCATTCTTAGCAAGCTTCACAGCCGACTCGTTGTCACAGAAAATCACAGTTGGCTCCTTTTGGCACACTCCGATCTCCTCCAACAAACGCCTCAGCCACACCACCTCCTTTGCCCCATGATGCAGAGCCATGTACTCTGTCTCACACGAGGACTGCCCCACCTCGTTCTGCTTCTTGCTGCGCCAGCTCACTGCACCACCTCCAAACAGGCACACATAGCCTCCAATGCTGGTGCCATCCGCCTTCACAGAGTTGAAGCTAGCGTCGGTGTAGCAGGTCAGGAGCATCTCCCCCTTGCCCAAATCAGCTGCACCCCTCTGCAGCCTCTGTCGCACAGCACTGTACTCCAAGCCCACTAATGCCGTAGCGCTCACATAGCGGACCAACCTCTTGGCCGCTTCCAGCTGCTCATGACTGGGGCGTGAAACCACACTTGCAAGCCTGGATGTAGCAAAGGCAATGTCAGGCCGCGTGTGGTTAGCCGCATAATTGAGTGCCCCCACCATGGAATGAAACAGCTTCCTGTCACTCTCACCCACCACCTCCTCTTCAGCACAGGGCTCCACAGTGAACCCCGAAGGCAGTGGGGTGGCTGGCTTTCCTCCATCTTGCAGCCCATACTTCTCAGCCAGCCCCTCACAATACTTTCTCTGGTGCAACCTCAACACTCCCTTGTCAAGGTCCCTCTCCACATGCATGCCCAAATAGTACTTCACATCTCCCATCTTGGAGCACTTAAACTGCATCTCCAGCATCTCCTCCACATGCTCAATCATTGCAGACGACTCAGAGAAGAGCAGGATGTCATCCACATACACCAGGAGCATGAGAAACTGCTCCTTCTCCTGCAGCAGGAACAAGCTGTGATCACACTCACTCTTCTTGAAACCCCCAGCCAGCAGAGTCTCCTCTAACTTGTGGTACCATGCACGAGGAGCCTGCTTCAGGCCATAGATGGCCTTCTTCAGCCTGCACACCCTGCCGCTCCCATCATCCAAACCCTCAGGCTGTAACATGTACAGCTCCTCCAGAATGATCCCATTGAGGAAGGCGGTGGTGATGTCCATCTGCTTCACCCGCCATCCACGGTATGCTGCCATTGCCAATGACACCCGAAGTGTTGTGCCTTTCCCCACAGGAGCATAGAGCTCGTTGGCTCACCTTGCATCGGCGCATGGGGCATGTGGCCCTGCCCATCTTGCAGCAGCTAGTGAAGAATGAGATGGTTGCTGGCATACGTGTGAAGGGGGAGCCCGATGAGGTGCTTGGCTGCCCGACGTGCATTCAAGCCAAGTTCACCCGGTTTCCGTTCCCTAGTTCGGAGGCAACGGCAAAGGCACCGCTTGATGAGGTGGTGATGGACGTGGTGGGCCCCCTGAAGCTTGGAGCTGCTGGAGCTGAGTATTTTCTCACCATTGTCGACGTCTACACCCGCATGACTTGGGTGTACGTGCTGGCCAAGAAGAGCGACGTGGCTGAAACGTTGAAGACGGATTGGTTCCCGATGGTGGAGCGGCAACAAGACCGTCTAGTCAAGTCAATCCGCACCGATCGAGGGGGAGAGTTCCTGAGCAAGGAGTTTGGGTTGTGGCTGAAGAAGAATGGTATTCGGCACTCCCTCACCATGCCATACTCCCCTGCAATGAACGGCATCGCCGAGCGAGCGAACCGCACAATCACGGAGGCGGCACGCGGGTTGCTCATTGAAGCCGGGCTACCCGACTATTTCTGGCCTGATGCGGTGCGGAGCGCGTGTGTGGCCAAGAACAGAGCCTTGACTCATGTGGGAGCAGACAAATGGGTGCCCTATGTGGAGTGGCTAGGAAGGAAGCCAAAGGTGGATATGCTTCGGGTGTTCGGGTGCATGTGCATGGCGCTCGTGCCTAAGCATCTTCGGCACAACAAGCTTGGTGCCAAGGCGGTGTGGGCCGTGCACTTGGGCATGGCTCAAAACAGCAAGGGATGGCTTCTTTGGGACCCATTCACCAAGAAGTTCTTGGTGAGCAGGGACTGCAAGTTCATGGAGAACTTCATGTACAAGGATTGGAAGGCGGAGAATGAGGCGAAGATAGGCGTGCGGTTTGGGGAGGTGAAGAGTTCCGGTTTGGAGCATGTGGAGCTGCCTTTGGAACTGAGCAGCGGCAGCACAACCACAAGGCAATCCTCCCTTGTGAATGGGGGATAGGAGGCCAATGATGCAGAGGAAGAAGAGGAGGAGGTGCAGCAAGTGAGCGAGCGTGCACCGTCACTTCCTTCCCGTACTACGAGTGCTCCACGGATTCGAGCCACACCGCAGCAACGCCAAGGCCTTCAAGTCCCTGCAGCTGAGGAGGAAGGAAGGGGGAAGAGGAGAGTTCAACCCCCTAATAGGCTGACCTATGATGCGCCGGGAAAGCAGGGCAAGACAGCCCTGGCCGGAGCGGCAATGATGGTCGGAGACGACGAGGAGAGTGACTACGAGGAGTGTGCCTTCGCGTTCTTCTCTCCGGTGGAGATGCCGGGAGAACCAGCAACTCTCAAGGAGGCTTTGGAGAGTAGTGATGCTGAGGAGTGGAAGAAGGCCATGGAGAGTGAGCTGAAGAGCATCGAGGAGAATGACACGTTTGAATTGGTGGAGCTACCGGAGGGGCGTACGGCGATAACGTCCAAGTGGCTCTTCAAAATCAAGTCGGATGCCGACGGCAAGATCGAGCGCTACAAGTCTAGGCTTGTAGCCAAGGGGTACCAGCAGAAGGAGAAGGTGGACTTCAAGGAGCTGTTTGCCCCTGTGGTGAAGCCGACGACGCTGCGAACCCTATTCGCGGGAGCCGCCATCAAAGGATGGGTAGTAAAGCAAATGGACATCGTAACGGCATTCCTTAACGGCATCCTTGAGGAGGAGATTTTTATGGCGCAGCCAGAGGGGTTTGATGATGGTATTGGCAGAGTGTGGAAGCTGAAGAAGGCCCTCTATGGGCTGAAGCAGGCCCCTAGGCAATGGTACATGAAGCTGCGCGAAGTGTTGGAGGGGATCGGCTTCACTCCCTCAACGGCCGATCACTCCTTGTTCATGCTTGGCGAGGGGGAGCAGAGGAGTTTCATGGTGGTTTATGTGGATGACATCCTCATTTTCTCACCCTCTTCTGACCTTGTGAAGGAGGTGATGCTGAAGCTTCAAGACAAGTTCAAGTGCAAGGCCCTTGGTGACGTGAGCTTCTACCTTGGGCTCCACATCGAACGAGATGTGGAGAAGCGGTGCATGCGGGTGCATCAACGAAAGTACCTGGAGGCATTGGCTGCCAACTTTGGGCAGAGTGAAGGCCATGTGGCTACACCCTTTCCCTCTGGGTTCAAGTGTGTGAAGGGACCAGAGGAGGAGAGCGTTGGTGAAGAGGAGAGGCGCCGATTTCACTCGTTGGTGGGCAGCCTCATGTATGCGGCGGTAAACACCCGACCGGACGTCGCGTTTGCTACCGGGCAGCTGGCTAGGGTTGTGCAATGCCCTAATGAGGAGCAGGTAGCAGCTGGAATGAGGGTGGCCAAGTATCTTGGCCAAACACCGACCGTTGGGCTGCAATACTCGGCGGCGGCACAAAGGCGCCAAAAGGGCGCGGATGGTGTTGAACCCGGGCGTTTGTTCCTCACCGCCTACTCGGATGCTTCATATGCATCAGAACCAGAGGACATGACAAGTGTGGGAGGCTTCATATGCTGTGTTGGTGGAGGCCCAACTGCT